ACCTGCTCCAAGCCCCCCCCCCCCCCGTTCACACCCAGGCATTTTGTTGCTCAAAGCTAAGCGTGACAACACAAAAAAATCATATTTATTTTAATGGCTCCTGTTCACACCTGAGGATTTTGTCGTTCAAAGCAAAGCGTGACAAAACGCTCAACACAAGAAATCCCATTCATTTTAATGGTCCCTGTTCACACCTGAGGATTTTGACGCAGGCTGTAAAATGCTGGTGATGTGAAGGTGCTCTATGTAAAGCGCTGTGAAAAGTACATGAGCTTCTTTTTGGCAGAATACAGCATGTTTGGCCCCCACAGACCGCATAAACGCGCGTCAATTGCAAACGAAATCCGCCTAATATGCGCTGAAACGCTGACGCCTAGGTGTGAATGGCGGTGTTCTGTTGACCCCGTCGGATTTGCCGACCCCAGCATCGGCGCAGAGACCGGGATTAACGAGGAAACAGCCATTTATTTACAAAGTATTTTGTTTTAATTGTTTATTTTTTTTAAATAAATCTTTTTATTCATTTTACAATATATCAAAACAAGACACTAACATAGTGTCATAATTGTACAATACAAGTGAAAAAGTACAAATAGTTAGGGTGCAGATTGACGCAATCTCAAAGAGAGAGATTGAAGGCCAATACCCCCAAAACAGTCCGGTCAACATCCCCCACCCCCCCCAACACTTAGGCTCTGTCGATGTCCATATAAATTCAACATACTCCATCCCCTTAGTTATCTATGCAGCAAACAGACATGAGAATAAACAGTAATCCAAGCAGCTACCTTAAGGCTGGGTTCACACCTAGGCGTACGGAATATGCGTGTTTGCCGCGGTAAAAGAAACCCGTGGCAAACGCGCGTTTCCGAGGGCTATCCAGCTGTATCCTAATGGATACGCGCGGCAAATACGCCCCAAAAAAGCTCCTGTACTTCTTTGGGCGTAGGGCGTTTTGCAGCGCATTCCTACGCGCTGTAAAACGCCCAGGTGGGAACCATGCCCATAGGCAATCATTGGTTTTCACATGGTGAGCGTTTTACAGCGCGTAGGAACGCGCTGTAAAACGCCCAGGTGTGAACCAGGCCTTAGGCTTAAAGGAGAACTATGAGGTAAGTGCTTTTCACTCACCTCATAGTTCTAGCCGACCTGTGACAATGAGAATGTCACAGGTCAGCTCAGTAGATCGGGAGGTGAGTGAACACATACCGGCGTTCGCTCACCTCTCGATCCTGTCACGGCTCTCTGATCCGGGATCCGCTTCAGCTGCGGCGTCTCAGTATACCGCGACGGCGTCTCAGTATACCGCGAGCTACAGCTCGCGGTATACTGAGCCTAGGGTGACGGGAGGACGCTAGTTTGTGTCCTCCCGTTACCCTAAGGAGAACTATGGGGAAAAGCCTTAACCCCATAGTTCTCCTTTTAAAGTGGATTTTCCCATACAGTGTATTCACCTTATGAGCACGGAGTAAAGGCTAGGCACCAGTGGTGTGCAGAGGATCCAAGGACAAACACCCGAAGTATATATGATTAGGCAATCACCATAGTAGCAGACTGGAGCCATGATGACCTACTAGCACTACAGGCATAAGTTTGCTTTAATTGTTCTAGTGACCGTTCTTAATATGCCATCCATGGCAGTAAATGATGGATGGCATTTTATTCACATTCACAATTAACATCGTAAGCAACTGCGCAGATGCTGAGGTCGGCGTTCTCGACAGAACACTGGCTGAAACCCTTCTTGCATTGACCTCCATGCTAACCTGCTTAGAATAAGGATGTGATGACTCACAGGACTGCTCCAGGGGTTTCTCTAAGAGCAAGCCGGTTCGGAGGATCGGGTTAGTATAACTTAATTTTTTATTTTCCTCCCTAGACCAAAGCAAGCGGTTAACCCTTGCAGTGCGGCAGTATCCCCAGTGCAAGGGTTAATAAAAACTTTCCACGGAGTTCTTCTTTAACGAACATTTCCCTTATGTTACAAAAATTACCCTGGCAGGAGTTTTAACCCTCCTGTGTTCTACCCAAAGCTTAAAAAAAAGGCTATGTCTCCACGTGAAGAATTTCAAAAACAGTTATTCCACGTTTAAAAAAGTGGAAATAGTATTTATGCAACAGGATGTGACACAAACAAGGCTGAGGTTCAAGTAGTTATGCTGAAGGTGATTTTAACACTATTTCCATCAACACTTTCCCAGAGAACACGGATTCCGTGAATAGAATTGAAATGGCCTGAAGATTGCGGTGCCGTTGACGATGTACACTTTTAGAATAATGACCAGACCCATCTCCACCTGCCCTTTGCAAGTTGCTATTGTAGATAATTGCAACATAGTAAAAGACAACTGGGCAGGGCTGACACCATTCCATCCACAAATACATTATATTGCCAAAAGTATTGGAGTGGGGCTGTAAGTATGTTAGCTCCAGTGCGTTTTTGATGCGTTTTTTTCGTTTCCTGATCGTACAAAATGTGACATGCAGTATTTTTCTGTCGTAACCTGAACGGACTGCGCACGTGAGAACTGTAGCCCAATAAACACATAGGGATAAATTGGGATGCATGTTTAGTGCAGGAGCGTACGGATCAGGTCAGCACAGAAAACGGACGTTGTGTAAACAGGCCCTTAAGCACGCCGCCACTGGACTCTAGAGAAGTAGAGACGTGTTCTCTGGAGTGAGGAATCACGCTTCTCTGTATGGCAATCCGATGGACGTGTCTGGGTTTGGCGGTTGCCAGGAGAATAGTACTTGCCTGACTGCATTGTGCCAAGTGTAAAGTTTGGTGGAGGAGGGATTATGGTGTGGGGTTGTTTTTCAGGGGTTGGGCTTGGCCCCTTAGTTCCATTGAAGGGAACTCTTAAGGCATCAGCATACCAAGACATTTTGGACAATTTCATGCTCCCAACTTTGTGGGAACAGTTTGGGGATGGCCCCTTCCTGTTTGAACATGACTACGCACCAGTGCACAAAGCAAGGTCCATAAAGACATGGATGAGCAAGTTTGGGCTGGAGGAACTAGACTGGCCTGCACAGAGTCCTGACCTCAACCCGATAGAACATCTTTGGGATGAATCAGAGCGGAGACTGCGAGCCCGGCCTTCTCCTCCAACATCAGTACCTGACCTCACAAATGGTCCAACATTCCCATAGACACACCCCTAAACCTTGTGGACTCCTTCCTAGAAGAGTTGAAGCTGTTATAGCGGCAAAGGGTGGAGCCAACTCAATATTGAACCCTACGGACTAAGACTGGGATGCCAATGATGTTCATGTGCGTGTAAAGACAGACGTCCCAATACTTTTGGCAATATATGTATGGGCACCTTTACACAGATCTTAAGCTAGCCATACAACTATAATCGATCGATCGATCGATCGATCGATCAATCAATCAATCTGATGAAGAGAAAAATCACTTGATTCCCCATCCATGTTAAACGGTGTGTGGATGGGTAAGTCTCCACGGTACCTGCAGCTGCCTGAATACTAGAACTGTGACTGCATGTGATAGGCCGTGTGAACAAGGTCCCAATGTCATCCGAGTCATCCAGCTTAAAACCACGTTGCTCACCCACAGTCATATTGATAGTAGCAAAAACATCTCTTGGCTAAAAAAAACATATAATTACAATATGGTGGCGTGTTATAGTGAAGAGGAAAAATGTGGTTAACCAAAATAAATGGCTGAACCAATGTGAATACATATTATGTGTATTCACTATGTCACTTAAGATGGGCAGGGTATTCCCCATTCCACCCACAAGTCATTTAGTCCATACAGGAGATGACTCATGATGATGATGAATGATGTCCACTTCCACCACTGTCTGCTGGGCTATGACTTTTCCTGGTATTCATTTGCAGTCTATCTTTCCCACACTCTCTTCCCACCTCCTGCACTTATCTTCCCCCATCACAGCACACGCTTTGCTGAACGCATAAGAAATACGTCAATGTGTCCTCCTGAAGCTGCAGTCTTGTCTGGCACTGAATCTGGGACACAAGATCCTGAACCCTACAATACATCTGTCTGACCCATGTTTTTATTCATCTCATTTAAAGTGTATTTACAATGAAAGTGTACTTTATGGCAAAATAATAACAAACATCTTCACTACATCTCTGCACTGCACATTTCCCCATGTTTTATCACCAAAATATGTTGCAGGTGCAAAATAATTCCTGTTGGTCTGCCAGAAATCCAGTGTTCTTCTAATTACCTGTTATGACTGCACTCAAAATGCCAAGTGGACCCTGCCTGCTGGATTGCAGAACTCTGTCTATGCCCCCATTCCTCTCCATGTGCATACGTTATTTTCTTTCTCTGCAAGACTATGATTCCCGTGAGCTTCCTCACACAATGTGTAGGGAAAGGGATCTTGGGGGGATACAGTTCTGGGAGCGCACCTGAGTTCCTTGCAGCTGTCTCTGCAAGATTTTTACATGCCTGCTGGGGATGTCACATTGAGTAATAAGAGTTAATTGTTGCTACAGAAACAAGAATAAAGTAATATTAGGACATGCTCTAAAGGGGAGAGGAAGGCTTGGGGGTGAATTTGGATAATGCCTGTCCATATGCTTTGATTTTACTATGGCTATACTTTCCACAGCATATGATTTATTTTACCCAATTAGTTTTGTTTTACTTAAGAATTTGTACAATATTTTAGGCACAACATGGATGCAGGAGATCTTGACGCTGATCTACAGCCAAGGCGATACAGAGATTGCCATGACTGTACCGAACTGGGAGCGGGCCCCATGGCTGGAACATATATATTTCAAAGATACCTTAAAGGAAGGCGAGGGCCCCAGAATCATCACCACACATCTCCCTAGTAATATCCTGGCTCCAGCACTGCAAAACTCCAAAGCTAAAGTAAGTAGACAAATAGTAAACCAATCAATACATTGGTCAATAGTAAACCAATCAATACACTGGTCAATAGTCACCAAATAATCAACCAATAAATACTCTGGTCTGTAGTGAGAAAATAGTGAAACAAACAATACGCTTGCCAATAGCCAAAAAACAGTCAACTAATCAATACACTGGTCAATAGTCAACAAACAGCCAACCCAACAATACACTGGTCAATTGGCAACCCTTCAATACACTGGTCAATAGCCAACCCATCAATTCACTGGTCAATAAATAGTCAACCCATCAATACGCTGGTCAATAGGCAACCCATCAATACACCGGTCAATGGGCAACCCATCAATACACCGGTCAATGGGCAACCCATCAATACACTGGTCAATGGGCAACCCATCAATACACTGGTCAATAGTCAACATAACAATACACTGGTCAATAGTCAACATAACAATACACTGGTCAATGGGCAACCCATCAATACACTGGTCAATAGTCAACATAACAATACACTGGTCAATAGTCAACATAACAATACACTGATCAATAGTCAACATAACAATACACTGGTTGATAGTCAATAAATAGCCAACCCAACAATACAGCGGTCAATTGGCAACCCTTCAATACACTGGTCAATAGTCAACAAAGAGTCAACCTATCAATATACTGGTCAATAGTCAATAAATAGCCAACCCATCAATACGCTGGTCAATGGGCAACCCATCAATACACTGGTCAGTAGCAAACCCATCAATGCAATGGTCAATAGTCAACAAAGAGTCAACCTATCAATACACTGGTCAATAGTCAATAAATAGCCAACCCATCAATACGCTGGTCAATGGGCAACCCATCAATACACTGGTCAGTAGCAAACCCATCAATACACTGGTCAGTAGCAAACCCATCAATGCAATGGTCAATAGTCAACAAAGAGTCAACCTATCAATACACTGGTCAATAGTCAATAAATGGTCAACCTATCAATACACTGGTCAATAGTCAATAAATGGTCACCCTATCAATACACTGGTCAATAGTCAATAAATGGTCAACCTATCAATACACTGGTCAATAGTCAATAAATGGTCACCCTATCAATACACTGGTCAATAGTCAATAAATAGTCACTCCATCAATACACTGGTCAATAGCCAACAAATATGATAGAAAATGTCAAGCTTCTAATGGTCCCTCTTCGATGATGGCACTTCGCTGCCTGCTCTATACAAGAGTGACAAATCGGAGCCTACTTGCTTAGACATTTGTCAATAGGTTGGACAACCTCCATGCAACAATAACAATTGCCTCTGTTACCTACCTCCTTGGGTGGTTCAGGTATGACCACATTGACAGTGATGCTCAGATCTCCTCTTCTTTTCATTGTACTGTTTAAAGTGTATGTAAAGCCAAAGTTTAGTTTTATTTTTGGACAGAGTAGGGAAGGGTTTGAGCATCTCTGTGCTCTTTCTTGCTGTCTTTTAGCACTGCTGCAGAGATTTGTCCTCACTATTCATCCTGGTGTCCTGAAAGGGAGGGGAAATCCAAAATTAAGAGTTCTTACCTGAGCAGGAATCCTTCTTTTCTGTAATCCGTTTTTATATCGCCCATCTCCATAATTTAAATGCTGTGGAAATTGAAATGGAAACTTGGGACTTTTCACGTTTCTTCTGTCTCGTTTTTATTATACCCAAAAGAGATCCCTAAATACTCAAAATATAATATATATATATATATATATATAATGATTTTTAGTTTTATATATCAGACTTTTTTTTTCCTTTTTATTTTTCAACTGGTGATCCTACCAATAACACATTTCCTGTCCAGGATGATGTAATGCCACATTATAGCCACTAGGTGGCGCTGAAGATAATATTCAGCGCCATCTAGGCCACTCCATCTAGTGGCCATATTGCTGTATTACATTACATGCATTCAACGTAAAATTACAATTTTAATTTTTAAGAAAGTTCCTTTTTTGTATCTGATCAGAAGATTCTCAGGTAAATCACACTATATAAATTGTAACCTATATAACAATGCTAATATTAACTGAGGCTATGCATCTCATATTCTATACCCCTGTTGGGGCGGCACAGGGTGAATGGCTCTGCCAGTTGGTTATAAATAGACCCCTAAGACAAGTAAAAATGTCTGCCTTTTAGTGATCACACTGTGTTCTTTCAGGTCATCTATGTTGCCAGGAATCCGAAGGATGTGGCGGTTTCCTTTTACTATTTCCACAAGATGGCCAAATTCCTCCCAGATTTTAACACCTTCTCTGAATTCCTAGACGTGTTCCTGGAGGGCAAAGGTCAGTCCTGAATTTGTAGCATCCTCCAGATTCCTATGTACACCAGCACCTTTTGTCTGCTTTTGTGTTCTTCCAAGCTGCTGGAACTCCTGGACCCTGACCCACCTTTTAGTATACATAGGAGATCACATGGTGTGCTGGCCTACAGTTAGTAGAACAATGGACTATTGACTTGTGTTTGACACTGACTCCAGAGTAAGGAAAGTATAGGGTGTATTCAGTGAGCACACATAGTTACTACGGTATCTGATCTCCAGGCATACCACTAAATACAGATAAAATACACATATGGGAGCTGTTTTACCTGACAAGTGATTTTGTATTTCTGTCCTTCCAATTCTGGCAGGGCAGTGGACTTCTTTGCTGCAGTTATTATTATACAGGATTTATATAGCGCCAATAGTTTGCACAGCGCTTTACAATATAAGGAAGACATTACAGTCACAATACAATTCAAGACAGGATGGTAAGGAAGGCCCTGCCCGTGAGTGCTTACAATCTAAAAGGGAGGGGCAAGTGATACATGAGGAGGTAGCTGTGCGGGGATGATTGTTTGAGAAAGTGATTGTTCAGTGGTTAGGTTGAGGCGGGATAGGCTTCCCTGAAGAGATGAGTCTTAAGGGATCGCCTAAAGGCAGTTCAGTAACACTTACAAGTCTTGTCCTGCCCCTAGCTGTGAGTGGACAGTGGATGGAGAAGCAGCAGACCGATGAGCTCATCTCTTTGCACTCTGCTTTCTCCTCCTATAAGCATGCTTCCAGTTAGCATATGAGAACCACAGCACTGCTGATTGAAAAAAAAAGAGAGCAGAGAAGCCAAAGTGTTTTTTTTTTCCAATACCACTTGTCTGTCTACTATTGATAACTAACCTGTTGTTTGTTGTCTCCTCCAGTGCACTACGGGTCTTGGTTTGATCATGTGAAGGGCTGGTACAGGCAAAAAAACAACATGGACTTTTTCTACATCACATATGAAGACTTACAGAAGGTCGGTGATTTCCTGCTGAAATACCAATTTACATGTCTGTTCAATGAAGGGATGGATCTGTAATGGGAATAATTGAGGGGATACTAAAAATCTGAGAAGTCTAAGGGCCCGATTTTATAAAGTAGAGCCAGTCCTCAATCAGATTCTTTGTTTCCTTGTGTGGGTTCATCAATGGAGCAAACTCAAATTCCCAAAAAAGATGTCCTTGGTAAAGAAGAGTATAAATACCTCTCCTGCTCCCCATGCCACCGAACTCTTCTTCATTGAAGAGAACGTGCCGCCTGACGTTGGTGCAGAAACCGACACTTCCGGGAGTGTCAAACTTTTGTCTCCTCCTGCTACACTCATTCGTTCTCCTGCAGACACCCATGTTTTTTTTTACCATGTCTTCTAGTGACATGGAAGTCGGCATGAGGAACCACAGGGAACAGTGAGGGACCTGAAGACGGAAGGTGCTGGTTTCTGAACAGGCTTTAGCAAACAAGGGAGCAGCAGAAAGGTCCCGGGGCGGGGGAGGGGGGTGTTGGCAATCCCTCTCCAGCAGGACTCTGGCAATTGTCATGCTATCTTGGACTGTAAAATAGGAGCCTAGACCAATGAGACTGGATCAATCAATTACAGCCAGGGGGATAATAGATGTCTGTATTAAGAATCCGTGCAGCATCCTGAGGAAGTTGTATGGCTTCTTAACACAGACATCCATTCTTTTTGACAGGGTCCCTTTAAAACAAACCTGTATTTAGCCCATTAGGGTTATTAATATTTGCACCGTACTGTATATTTAACCTCCAAGCTGTGCTACTCTAATGCTGGACACAAAGAAAAATGCCCAGTACCTCTAAGTATGAGGACCAGAATTTTTTTATTGGCAGTCCTATCAGCATCATATACTTACACTCGCTTAGCTATCCCACTGGGCTACTCAGATGCCGGGTGCAAAGGAAAATACCCAGTACCTGTAGGTATGGGGACCATGTGATTGGTAAAAGCGCTGTGCAAACTATTGGCGCTATATAAATCCTGTATAATAATAATAATAATGTTATAATCCAAGACAACATATGACTGCTGTCAAAGCCCTAACAAATTGGGGTTGTTGGCCCACAAAACCAGCCAACTGGTTTCCAGCACCTTTCTGACAGCTGAGGATTATTAAATTACAGTTCTGGACTCCTGACACGTGTTCCGGTTCAACTTCTTGTGGTGCTTGGCAGTTGGCTGCTTGGTGATCCAGCTCTGTGACCGGGGGTTGGGGCGAGGGTCTTAAGCTTTGTGTCATTAGCCACAAGGCTTCCTCTCTTTACTCCTCACAGCTGAATGAAAGGGTGGGGAGTGAAGAGAATAAGGATTTGTTCAGCTGAGGAGCTGATATTAAGTGAATCTGCTGCTTAGGCCTGCATGGCTATGTTAATGACACCCTGTTTGTGTGTTGGGGATCACAAGACATTGCCATTGATAAGCAAAAGAAATGCGTTTTTAGCTTGTCTTCTACCTCGTCAGGATTTGAGAAGAAGTATAAAGAAGCTGTGCGGGTTTTTGGGCTGCCCCATGTACACTGAAGAGGTGGATAAGGTGGAGTGTCATTGTCGGTTCCCTGAGATGAGCCAGAACGTGATGGTGAATTACATGCTGATCCCCAAGGAGATCATGAACCACGATCAGAGCAAATTCATGAGGAAGGGTAAGTGACCCAATGTACACACCCGACCTGCTATTTTAACTTATGTTTTACAAATGTATATTACATATGAAGAACGATATATAATAATTGCAATAATATAGATTTAAAAAGAAACACCAGTTAAAATGTTATGGCATCGCCAAAGAAAACCGCAATTGAACATTAAGAAAAGCTGTGCTTTGCCTTTGTAAAGTCACTCTGTCGCTTCCAACAAAGAACCCAGTTAATACTAACCAGCTCCACTGCTTGTGCGGCCAAATATTAAACTCTTAAATGAGTAAATTTAATGAAGGTTTATCAGCATTTATCACTTCCGGAAGTGTCAGTTGCCTATTTCCGTCTGTGATCTCTCCTGCTGACCAAGGACATGACTACATGATATAATAGTGACATAGGCAGAAGGAACTACAGCACTTGGCAGGGAACCAGGCATCAAACACACAGTGTGCCATGGTATTAAAGTGGAACTCCAGTTGCAATTTTTTAAAACATTTTTAGTTCTTCCCGTCTCCCCTAGACTTTTGTGAAAACCAAGTCCTCTTTACCCTTTTCATGCTCCAGTGGTATCCTTGGCTTCCTTCCCAGGCCACCGCAGTCAGTCCTCTTCAGGCAGAACAACAGTGTTGTCATTTTGCCCATTTCCTGTGAGCCCAGCCTGTCAGTTACATGCCCCTTAGGGGATGCTTCATAACACTTGCTGGGCTCGCACATCATTATGAGTGCTGCTCTGTCATGGGAGAATACCCAACTCCGGAGTAAGAAGACGAAACTGCTGTGATGTCCCTGGACTGTCTAGAACAAGGGTGCCCATTAGGTAGATCGTGATCTACCAGTGGCTCTCAAAGCTGATGCTGGTAGATCACAAAGGGTGTGAATTGCGGCCCCTTTATTCCATTTTGGTATAATAGCTGTGCACACATGATTACCTATTAGCCTGAGTCTCCTGAGCCAAGCTCACTGACACCTTTCTGGTGGATACTGGTGGTTGAAGTGCTATGTATTACATCAAAGAATATTAGTTTGCACAGCCTGTTGCACTGCACTGTTTGCAAAATACAGCAAGGTGAGCCAGGAGAGAGAAAGCCAGGAAAGAGAGAGAGGAGAGACAGCCAAGGGAGAGAGCAAGGAGAGACAGCCAAGAGAGCTAAGAGAGACAGCCAGGGGACAGAGCAAGGAGAGACAGCCAGGAGAGAAAACAAGGAATGACAGCCAGGAGAGAGAGAGCGAGGGAGGTTTTTTTGGTTGGTAGATCTCATGTAGCTCGTCATTTGAAAAGTAGATCTTAACACAAAAAATTGTGGGCACTCCTGGTCTAGAAGATTGCAGGAAAAATAAATGTATAGGGTTATTTTACAAATAAAAAAAATACTGGGAAGGGGGGCTTCAGGGGTGGGGGTAGCAGGGTAAATGCCTGGAGTTCCACTTTAAAGAGTATGCTCCTTAGCAGATGGTTCTGGTAGCTGTACTGCCAGGATTATACTCTCAAATTCCTTTTAATATGTTCTCCTTTTCATATTCACTTCTTGAGTCCAACCCCAACGTCCACCAACACCCCAAGCCCTGTTGAAAGGTGGCATCCTCTAACCCATGAAACACATTGACTTCACATATAAAAATATATCAGTCTGTTTTAATGGAAAAAAATTGATTTGCATTCTCATTTTGGGGTGTGGTGGTCCATTCTTGTCTTTTACCATCATCTGAAGAGTTGTTGATGAACCTTCAGAAAACATGAGCTGGCTGCTCAGTGCCTAATGCATTTTAATATACAAAAACCTGACGTGAACCCTAAGGTTTAAACTTCAATTTGGGATGCAGTGCCTCCAATTTCTTTTTTTTTTAGATTAGCATAAACCCTGACAGGGGTTCTAATCATTTCCTGCGTTAACCAAAACATTAAAAAAAAGGTTTAGCTTTGGATGTACTTTAAGCATTGCTATCTATCACTTTCTGCTCTTGTTTCATTAGGTATAGTGGGCGACTGGAAACAACACATGACGCCAGAGCAAAGTGACGCCTTCGATAAGACTTTCCAGGAGAAGATGTCCGGCTGTAACCTTCAATTTCTCTGGAATTTAGACTGAACAAAAGACAAATTAGTTCTGGGACTGCGCTTGTTCTGGAGCTCTTCAAATATTTACACAGGAGAGGCACATATAGTCTAAACAAAGAACGTTGGTATTACTCAACCTTGGGCTGAGCCAGATGGAGAACAGAAATGTGATAAAAAAAGAACTTGTATACTCAAACATATACTGTTTGCATTTACACTTGCTGTTAAAGTTCTAACCAGACTGGTTATGCTGAAATTGATTTAAAGTGACCAAAAGTACCTCCAGTAAGCCAGTGAGAAGACCCTACTCAAACCAGAAGGTATCTACATGTCTCGAGTCCATCGCACATCCATTAGGGTTTATTCTACATTTTAGGACAGTGGGCAGAACCGTACAAATAATACATTTTTAGCCCCTGTGGTAACTGTGCATCCAGAACTGCTGGTCTATAGTACATATGCAACCTAGTATTAGTTGGCCATTATCAGTGCAGGTTATGGAAACCATGGCTTCTATGGAGTAGGACTTACAAACTAATGAAACAGTTACTGGACAACTTATGGAGAAGTGGGCCAAAAAGAGCTTAAAAGCACTTTGCTAAACTGGTTTGCATTTGGCTTAGTGGGCTTTATGATCCCTTAAAGCCTTGGTTCTCAACTGGTGGGTCGGGACCCCGTGTTCAGTGGGTCACCACATGCCTTCCACTTTTCTAGGTGAGAGGCTACTCAGCTTCTTCCTAGCGCACCACTGTCAGTGCTCAGGCCAAGCAGCCATTCAAAATATGCAGCCCGATGCCAAGTGTCAGCTTGAGGTGGGATGGGATGGGACCATGGCCACGAGGGAGCTCCATCCATACGTGCATTGCTTACAGCTCCCGTACATGCCCTGTAGAGGTGCCTGGACCGGAGTGATGTCACATTTTGGCTCCTGTCACCTCTACAGGGCACGTGAGGGAGCTGTACAAGCAATGCACATATGGATGGAGCTCCATCACAGCACAGCAGCCTACACTGGACCCTAGGCTGAGGATCCACTCCAGTTCTTGGAAGATAGGGACTGGGTGGATCTTAAAAAAGAAAAAGAAACAAAATTAAATATATTTTTTGGAGTGTGTTTGTGTGTGTGTGAGACTGTCTGTGAGTGTGTGACGTTGTGTATCTCTCAGTATTTTTGAGGGCCAGTTCACACCAGTACAGTGGATTCATTGCACAGTCCTGTGCGATTACCGTACTGTACCACACAATCGCACCTACCGCACATTCTGTTGTGGGAGGTGAGTTGTCATTTGAATGGCACCTCAAACGCACCTCCTACCCAGTTCATTTCCCCTCATCGAAATGGTCTGTACCGCAATGCCGTGCGTTTCATTCAAGTGCAACTTGGGTTGTGACTTAATGACCAAGGACAAATGTGGGTCCTGAGGTTACACAGGTTGAGAACCACTGTCTTAACCTTCCTGGCTGTAATCCCGAGTGTTGCTCGGGGTTAATTTTCAGTACCAAAAGCGGTATCCCTGACCCACATTCGGGATTACACTGTGCGTCACTTACCTTGTCCACAAGCCCCGCTGTGTCCTCCGGCCGATGCCAGCATCCGTCTTCTGGGTTCTGTCGCTTGCGAGCGCCCGCGTTGCAGGGGTGTGGAACCGACGGGAAATTTAAAAGTAAAAAATGGGGATTTTTTTTTTTTTAAAACCCCTGAGATAATCAGACCACCAGGGAGGTTAAAGTGTATGTCTGGCCAAAACTTTACTTTCTAGTTTTGTATAGAATGGGGAAGGTCAGAACCCCTCAAGTTTTCCTGCTAACTGGGTTTCCATCAGAAACGCTTTATTTCTTCTGACTTACTGTGCTGCTCACAAGGTTTTTACAAGGATTAGGGTAAATCTCCAACAACAACATGGGCAGAAGTAAAACATTTCTTTTAGTAGAGTAGGGGAAGCATAGGGCCTCTGTCAGCACTGTATTGCTCGAAGTAGTAGTAGGAGCAAGGCATTGGACATATTCTTTGTCGTAAAAGAAAAAAAGTCTCTAATTGGTAAGGCTCATTATCTGAGTTCAGCAACTCTCCACAAAGCAGAAGCCTTCTCCATAAACCGGGGGATCATGCGGCTAGAGAATCCGCACAGGGTTGACCCAGAAAGAAGAGCCAAACACAAGTATCCGCAAGAGTCCAAAAATATATTTTATTATACCTCAGATGTCACAAGGGTAACGGAAAACTGGCAATGCGTTTCAGGGGCCAAGCAATCCCCCTTTATCAGGGCTTTGGCCACTGTCATATACTGTCTTGGACTCTAAATTAGGAGCCAGGGCCAATCAATCAGAGCCTGGAGGTATATTTACCTGAAGAATGTCTGTGCTGGAAATTCGTGGAGAATGGAATTCCCAGCACAGACATTCTTCCATTATATCTACTTCCAGGCTCTGATTGGTCTCGGATACTTGATTGGTTTGGAGCCCATCATTTTGAATCCTCTTCAAGTCTTTGAGGTATCCTTTGTTTGGGGTACCTGGTGTTTTTGGAGCTGCCTAACCAAAGCCAGTGAGCTCTTCAGAAGTCTCTAGAAACCTGGTCTGTCATATAAGCAGGAAAAATTCCCAGCACCTCTGATCTCTTTTCTCTTTTGGAGACCAATTTTTAGCAGTATTCATCATGACTCTCTGACTAATTTGTGTATCGAAATGTTTTTTTACATCATTTTTAAGGATATAAAAGACATTTATTTTGTACATTATTTTAATAAAGATGGTGCTCACATTTTTTATAAGCTGATACATGGATTAATGTAAACAATTATGTATTTTTTGGATATTATAAATAGCAGATCTTGGTCAAACATTTTACTTTATTTTTTTTAAATGAATGGGTTTTTGTTTTATACACCATACTCTTTTCTAACATTGTACATGTTTCATTGTGCACAGGAATTGCACAGTTTTAAGGCGCACAAAGCTACTGCAAGATAAAGAGGTTTGTTTGTAAACTGTGCTCACATGCTTTCAATTGAATATTTAAAGTGATATTAAAGTCAAAAGGTTTTTAAGCTATTTAACCAGTTGACATCTGCGGTGTTAAACCCCCTTCCCATCCAGGCCATATTTCAGTATTCAGCGCTGCGGTACTTTGACTGACATTTATTCCGTCATGCAGCGCTGTACTGAAATTAATTTTATACCCTTTTTTGGGGACACATAGAGCTTTCTTTTGGTGGTATTTATTCACCACTGGGGTTTTTATTTTTTTATATATTAAGGAAAAATTACAGATTTAAAAAAAAAAAAAAGCAGTTTCCCCTATATTAAATTCTAAAACATTTATAATTTCCCAATTTTTTGGTAAAATATAAAAGA